TGCCTATCTGGACGTTTCCTGTCCCGACTGTTCCCTGTCCCGACTGTTCCTGTCCCGACTGTTCCCAATCCTGACTGTTCCCAATCCCAACTGTTCCCATTCCTGAGTGTTCCCTGTCCCAACTGTTCCCTGTCCCGACTGTTCCTGTCCCGACTGTTCCTGTCCCGACTGTTCCTGTCCCGACTGTTCCCTGTCCCGACTGTTCCCTGTTCTGACTGTTCCCTGTTCTGACTGTTCCCTGTTCTGACTGCTCCCATTCCCAACTGTTCCCATTCCAAAGTGTTCCCTGTCCCTTCCTGCCGATTCCAGAGGGGGAGGGACAGGAGGGAATCGCGTCTCCCTGACCCTTAGGAGAGAGAAAAGCGGGAATGCTGACTCCGTAACCCTCGGGAGAGGCGGGATAAGAGGGAATCTCTCCATAAACCTCAGGAAAAGTGGGATAAGGAGGAATCTCCTTTCCACAACCCTCAGGATAGTCGGGATAGTCAGGAATGTGCTCTCCTCAACCCTTGGGATAGTTAGGACAGTCGGGAATGTGCTCTCCCCAACCCTTGGGATAGTCAGGATAGTCGGGAATGTGCTCTCCCCAACCCTTGGGATAGTCAGGATAGTTGGGAATGTGCTCTTCCCAACCCTTGGGATAGTCAGGATAGTCGGGAATGTGCTCTTCCCAACCCTTGGGATAGTCAGGATAGTTGGGAATGTGCTCTTCCCAACCCTTGGGATAGTCAGGATAGTTGGGAATGTGCTCTCCCCAACCCTTGGGATAATCGGGATAGTCAGGACAGTCAGGAATGTGCTCTCCCCAACCCTCGGGATAGTCGGGACAGTCGGGACAGTCGGGAATGTGCTCTCCCCAACCCTTGGGATAGTCAGGACAGTCGGGAATGTGCTCTTCCCAACCCTTGGGATATTGGGGACAGTCGGGAATGTGCTCTCCGGCAGGGATCTACACGAGCAACAAGGACCCGATCCCGCTGGGCGCGGCGCTGCGGGCGGCCTGCAGCACCCCGCTGCCCTCGGCGCTGCTCCCGCTGCAGGGCGGCGCCGGCCTGGCCCAGCTGGGCCGAGCGCCCTTCGCCAGCTCCATCCCCGCCTCCGCCGCCGGCTCCACCACACAGGTAACCACGGAAACGGCCGGGATCCGGGATCCGGAGCGGACAGGGAACGGGATTGGGACCGTTGGGGTTGGGATGGTTTGGGTTGGGATGGTTTGGGTTGGGATGGTTGGGATTGGGATGGTTTGGGTTGGGATGGTTTGGGTTGGGATGGTTGGGATTGGGATGGTTTGGGTTGGGATGGTTTGGGTTGGGATGGTTGGGATTGGGATGGTTTGGGTTGGGATGGTTGGGATTGGGAGCACTGGGGATTGGGATGGTTTGGGTTGGGATGGTTGGGATTGGGACAATCAGGATTGGAAACATTCAGGATTGGGATAGTCAGGATTGGGACAGTTAGAATTGGGACAATTGGGATTGGAACAATCGGGATTGGAAACATTCAGGATTGGGACAATCGGGATTTGAAACAATCGGGATTTGAAACATTCGGGATTGGGACAATTGGGATTGGAACAATTGGGATTGGAAACATTCGGGATTGGAAACATTCAGGATTGGGACAGTTGGGACAAGGAGCACTCAGGATTGGGATAATTGGGATTGAAAACATTCAGAATTGGGACAATTGGGATTGGGACAGTCGGGATTGAAAACATTTGGGATTGGGACACTCAGGATTGGGAACAGTTGGGATTGGAACACTTGGGATTGGGAACAGTTGGGACAGGGAACACTCAGGACTGAAACATGCCATCCCCACCCCGGATCCCTGGTTCCCCCGGCAGTTCCATCCCCACCCTGGATCCCTGGATCCCCCAGCAGTTCCATCCCCACCCCAGATCCCCAGTTCCCCCGGCAGTTCCATCCCCACCCCAAATCCCCGGATTCCCCCGTGTCCCGCTGTCTGTGCCGGACCACGGAGCCGATCCCTGCCGGAGCTGTCCCACCAGGAAGAACGACCGGCTCCACCCCATTCCCACGGCTCCCGGCCGGCTCTGGGAACGTGCCAAGCCTCTTGCCAGACTTCCAGGCGATATTTTTAACACGGGAGCCGGGAAGCGCCGGAATAACGAGGACATTCCCCCGTTCCCCATGCAGGTGTTTTCCCTGGCCGGTTCCACCTTCAGCCTCCCTTCCTCGCACATTTTCGGGAGCCCCCTGACGTCGGGGCTGTCCCTGAACCCCCTCCTGAGCCAGCCGGAGAGCAGCCGGGCAGGTACGTGAATTCCCAGGTATGTCCGAGTTGGCATTCCCGAGGGCTCTCCCACCGCTGCATTCCCAGCTTTTCCAGCTGGTTTTCCGCTCTGGGTGACAGCCGGGGCGGCCAGCGGGGGACGGGGGGGTCGCGTTTGCCCGCGGCACCTCCGGAGGGGCCCTGGAGAATGAGGATCCTGGAGGATCCTGGAGGATTGGGCGTTCCTGGGGAATGGTGGGTGGGCATGGAGAATGGGTGTCCGTGGATAAGGAGTGGCTCTGGAGAATGGATATTCCCGGGGAGTGGATATTCCCAGAGAATGGATATTCCTGGGGAATGGATATTCCCAGAGAATGGATATTCCTGGAGAATGGATATCCTGGTGAATGGATATTCCTGGAGAATGGATATCCTGGGGAATGGATATTCCTGGAGAATGGATATTCCCAGAGAATGGGTATTCCTGGTGAATGGATATTCCTGGGGAATGGATATTCCCAGGGATTGGATATTCCCAGAGAATGGATATTCCCAGAGAATGGATATTCCTGGAGAATGGATATCCTGGTGAATGGGTATTCCTGGAGAATGGATATTCCTGGTGAATGGATATTCCCAGGGAATGGATATTCCTGGAGAATGGGTGTTCCTGGTGAATGGATATTCCTGGGGAATGGATATCCTGGGATAATGGGTTTCCTTGGATAATGGATATCCTGGGATAACAGGAGTCCCAGGATAATGGGGTATCCCTGGATAACAGGTGATCCTGGATAATGGGCATCCCAGGATTCCTGCGTGGAATTACTTTCCCCCTCCCAAATTCTGCTCCCCTCTGCCGTAATTTCAGCACCCCCCAGGAATAACCCCGGGATCCAGGAATCCCGAATCAGGAATGAGCCATGGAGGCAAAATCCAATCATCCAAAGTCCTCAAAAAAACCCCAGATCCTCAATTTCCTTTTCCAAAATCCCTCTTTTTGCCTGACTGGGATTTTAGGAGCTTCAGGATGGGGATTTTTTTCCCAGTTCCGGACAGATTTTGGGGACAGCTCCCGGTTTTTGTCACGTTTTGGGTTTGGATTTGGTGGCCCAGAGTCTGCTCAGCCAAATTCCCGCTGGTTTTTTTTCCAGAGGATCCATTAGCATCAAACCTCCCGTGTGGGGCCGTTTTCCCTGGAAAACCTGGAGATTCCTTTAATCCCAGACTTCACAGGATTCTTGGGAAGCTCCCTTGTCTTTAACCCCGATTCCTTTTCCCGGGAAAGGGAGATCCCATGGAGGCAGCTCAATATTCCAGCTTTTCCCAATTTTTCCGTGCTGGACGATGTGATTCCAGCCGTGGGAACAGGGAATTCCTTCAGGTTCATCCCTTGGGCAGCACAAGAAGTCTGGTTTTTATCTGAGCTCCCGCCTCCACCTTCCTGCCACGGCTTTTCCGGGATCCTGATGATGACGGAGCAGGTGGATTTGTCATTCCCGGTTTTCTCCAAGCCTCGGGAAGGGCTGTCCCTGAGGGAGAACTCCGTCACCTCCCGCTCTGGTGATGGAATGTGGGGCTGTCTCGGGCACCGGGATGGTGTCGGCATGACGGGAATGAGCAGGGAGCCAAAAATCCCGGGATTTTGGAAGCCGGGATGGTTTTGGGGTCTGGAGAGGTTTCTGTGGGATGACGGAGTGGTTGGGGCTGGGAAGGACCTTTAGGATGATCCATGGGCAGGGACACCTCCCGTTATCCCAGGCTGCTCCAGCCTGGCCTCGGACACTCCCAGGGATCCAGAGGCAGCCCCAGCTTCTCCGGGAATTCCATCCGATCCCCTCACCACCCTCACAGGGAAGAATTCCATCCCAAAATCCCATCCCTATCCCAGTTTGAGCCCATTCCCTGTGTCCTGTCCCTCCATCCCGTGTCCTGGAGCCCATTCCGACACTGGAGCCGCTCCAGGATCTCGCACCGGGAAATTCTGGCCACATCCAGGAGTGCGGATTCCTCCTGCCTGGAAAAGTGTCCCGGGACAATCCCAACCCAGCGGGACATTCCCGAGGGGAGGATGAGGGATCCGGGATCCCCCCGGCCCTGTCTGGAGGAGCCCCAGCTGGGTTTGCTCATTCCCAGCCGCAGGAAACCCCCAGCTCCCCGCTGGGAATCGCGGCATTCCCAGCAGGAGATTCCCGGGATTCCTGCGGGTGGGAATGTGTGGGGAAGGAGAGGAGGGGCAGGGAGGCAGCTGGAGCCAAACCATCCGACAGCGCCCAGGGCGAGGGGAGCGAGCGCTCCAGGGATGGGAGAATAAATCCGGGATTTATCCTGGATTACCCTTGGAACGGGAGAGATCCTGCACAGCGGCCCCATCCCGGATTTCCTGGGGCGCAGGGAAGGTTCTGGATGGTTCTGGAAGGCTCTGGATGGTTCTGGGCGCCGCTGAGGGCACACTCAGATCCTGGGGGCTGTTCTGGGATCTCCCCAAGGAGGACACGGAGGGGCTGGAGCGTGTCCAGGGAAGGGCTTGGAGTGCTGAAGGAGCCGGGAACGTTTATCCTGGGGAAAAGTGGGATCGGGAGGGACTTCCTGGATCTCCAGAAATCCCTGCCAGGAGGGGACAGCCGGGGGGCTCTGCTCCCTGGGAACAGGGACAGGAGGAGAGGGAGCGGCCTCAGGCTGGGCCAGGGGAGGTTTGGATGGGATATTCGGGAATTTTTCCACATGGAAAGGGACAGGACCTCATCCCTGGAATTGCTCAGAAAGGCGCGGATGTGGCGCTTGGGGGCACGGCTGATCCGGGTTAATGATTGCCCTCGCTGACCTTGGAGGGCTTTTCCAGGCTTCCATTCCCTGATTCCCTGGAAGCTCCTTAGAGAGGAGCCGGGAACCTTCTGGAACCGCGGCCGGCCGTGGGGAAAGGATCCCCAATCCTGGCTGACCTTGGAGCCCTTTTCCAACCACATCGGTTCTGTCACGGCCTGGAGAGCGGCAGCCGATCCCCCGGGATTCCCGGATCAGGGATTCAGCCCTCCCTCCTTCCCGGCAGCTCCGGGAAAAGCGGCTCCTCGGGCTGCGGCGGGGCCGGGGGGACCTTACCGGAGTGGCCGCGCTGTGCTGCGGTGCCAGGCGGTGCCAGGAGGTGCCAGGCGGTGCCAGGAGGTGCCAGGAGGTGCCAGGTGGTGCCAGGCAGTGCCAGGAGGTGCCAGGAGGTGCCAGGCAGTGCCAGGAGGTGCCAGGAGGTGCCAGGAGGTGCCAGGAGGTGCCAGGAGGTGCCAGGCGGTGCCAGGAGGTGCCAGGAGGTGCCAGGAGGTGCCAGGAGGTGCCAGGAGCTGCTCCCCGGGACTGTTTGGGGCTGTTTGGGGCCATTCGGTTCTGGTGCCGCCCGGTACCACCCAGTTTCCTCCTGTGGGATCACACCGGGGTCACACCGGGCACACACCGGGATCACACCGGGATCACTCCGGGGTCACACCCAGCACACACCAGAGTCACTCCGGGCACACACCGGGATCACACCGGGATCACACCGGGATCACTCCGGGGTCACACCGGGGTCACACCAGGATCACACCGGGATCACACCGGGATCACACCGGGATCACTCCGGGGTCACACCGGGATCACTCCGGACACACACTGGGATCACACCGGGATCACTCCGGACACACACCGGGATCACACCGGGATCACTCCGGGGTCACACCCAGCACACACCAGAGTCACTCCGGACACACACTGGGATCACACCGGGATCACACCGGGATCACACCGGGGTCGCTCCGGGCTCCGGCCGTGCCCGGCACCGCTGACCCCGGGCCCTCTGTCCCTGTCCCCGCACAGAGCCGGACCTGGAGGATTGCGGCTTCGGCTGCCGAGGGACGTCCCCGCAGGAGAGCCTGTCCTCCATGTGAGCGTCCGGGACAGCGGGACAGGGGGACACAGGGACAGCACAGGGACAGGGGGACAGCACAGGGACAGCAGGACAGAGCGACGTGGGGGGGCAGAGGGACAGCACAGGGACAGGGGGACACAGGGACACAGGGACAGCAGGACAGAGTGATGGGGGGGGCAGAGGGACAGCACAGGGACAGGGGGCCGGGGGGGACAGAGGGACACGGCGGGAGGACAGCGAGGACAGGACAGGGACAGTGCAGTGACAGCGCAGGGACAGCGGGGACAGGACAGGGACAGTGCAGTGACAGCGGGACATGGGCAGAGCCTGTGGGCATGGAAACAGCTCCTGCCCCACTCCTTGGGATGTGGGGTGAAGTGGGATGGGGTCCATAGGATGGGATCCATGGGATGGGATCCATGGGATGGGATCCATGGGATGGGATCCATGGGATGGGATGGAAGGATCCAGGTTTGCTTTCCCAACACAACTTGAGCCTCGCCTGAAGCGCAGCAGAGGCTGAGCCTGGGGGCTGCGGCTGCTCCGGCGCAGACAGAGGGGCCGTGGGAGCGGGAATGGAGCAGGGAATGGAGTGGGAATGAAGCCGGGAGCAGAGCAGGGAATGGAACAGGGAATGGAGTGGGAATGGAGCAGGGAATGGAACAGGAATGGAGGTGGGAATAGAATAGGAATGGAGCAGGGATGGAGGCGGGAGCGGAGCAGGGAATGGAGCAGGAATGGAGCGGGAATGGAGCCGGGAATGGAGCAGGGAAGGGGGCGGGAATGGAGC